GATGAAGGGGGAGTTGGAAGGGCTACAGAACGAGGTAGCGGACGCGGAAGCTCAGGTAGGATGGTGATTTTTTTAGAAATGGGAGAATATGCGCATGGTCAACTAAGTGTGTTGGTAACAATATGGAAATTTCTTGTTGGTTTTTGTACACTTCTGTCCGAATTCGTGTGAGTTTCTATAGTTAGTGAGGAAACTTCCGAGCTCAGCTGAGGGAAGAAAAGTCTTTCTTCCAAAACTGATGTCTGCAGTTATCGCGGCGACAGGAAGAATATGATGCCTTGTTGAAGTCGATTGAGGAAGAGGAAAGGGAGTGCAATGAGTTGGAAGCGAACCTGGCTCAGCGACAAAGGGATTTGAAGGCTAGGGAGCAGGTGAGTCTCATTATCGTATTCTATCTATAGTGCTGCCAAGTTCCGATTGGCAGGTCTTGACTGAAGCATTGGAGCAGTTGAGGTCCCAACGGAGGAGCACTTCGCGTTTGTCTGATGGACCGAGTGGGAGTGATGACGGAGAGTGTTTACAAGAAGAGGATGAGACTGAGAGAGATGTGAGCTGCAGGCTCACTTTTATTTATCGACAAATGTGCCAACTTATCGAGGCTATCATTTTTTTGTCGAACTATGTTGTTAGTGTTCGATGTCTTGGCCCGGGTTCGAACCTGGATCAATCGCTTGAGAGGCTCACACATTACCCACTTGGGTGGAGAGTTTCTTGTAACATATCTTAGATTCGCATGTCGGAGTTGCGGCTGAAGCTTGAGTCACAGAAGATGGAGCTTGCTGTTCAAAAGGAACTCAGAGTGAAAAATGAGAGGCTCATCAAAGATCTAGAAGACCGCATTCAGTACACCACTCATAAACATATCGTATTCGTATTCGTCCGGTCCTTCAGGCGTATGGACTCACACAGGGAACAGATCCTCGCGGAAGTCGTTCCGTCAATGTGACGGTACGCAGCATTACTGTGAGGGAGTGGAGCTTTCTAATTCGAAACGTTTTCATGAATATGAAACACCATAGTTGTGTTCTACTATCGATCAAAACACTGAGTTCGTAGTATTTCACCAATGGTGTCGTCCGGACCAGTCATGCACTCGCATGTTGTGCACAGTTGGTAGCCCGATAAAGAAGGGGTAAGGGAGGTGATAGTATTAATGAGGAATGACAGTCAGCAGGCTATTGTGTAAGGAAAGAAGGAGACAACATAATATGAGGAGTTCCTTCACACTATACTGCCGTACCATTGACGATTTTCTCACTAGGCTATTCTGAATAGTCTATTCACTGGGCGGCTGTATTCGCTGAATACATTTCCGAATGGCATGCAAGATCCCTGGACTTCTCGCCTGATGAGCCTGAGATTCCTGAATCAGGAGTCCCTTTGGCGGATACAGCCGCTGTGCCCGCGGACGAGGACGTCACATACACGAGTGAGGACATTAATTTGGAGTTTGGGTTTAGGTACATGTATCGGTCAAGAGGGTCAAAAAATGATGTCAATCCTGCGGATGAGAAATACAATTTCATGATTGAGGAAATCAATTTCGCCGGTAAGGACATCGAATTCGCGGACCTACCTTCATCCAGGGCCCCTCTCCCTTGCATGTCGCGAAACTCTTTCTCTAATTCCTAGTTCAAAATGTGATACTCCAGTCGAGAATTCTATTTTCAGGATTGACTATTTTAAGCGTGTATGCTCACTATATCTCAATGCCAGTCGCGGTCATATTTTAGTAATATGACCTATAGGTCGATTTGTGATAACTAGCTGTGCCCATGAATCGGGAACATATTCTTATGCCACGATGACGTCACACTGCATACACTATACTCAAGTGACGAGTCGAAATCACATCGGAAGTAAGCGGTTATGCCCGTAATATTCTTCTCATATCACAGAATCATGTCTCGGTCGAACTCAACTGTTTCTGACCAGAAGCGGCGCAAGAAGTTTTCTGATGAAAATACTCTTGCAATAAGGAGGTCATAGACCCAGAATAGCTGACATGGATCGAGACAAATCGATCAGTGGCATGGAGTAAGACAAAACGATCACTGACGTGGACTAAGACATCGATCAGTGGCATGGAGTAAGACAAAACGATCACTGACGTGGACTAAGACATCGATCAGTGGCATGGAGTAAGACAAAACGATCCTCTGAATCATGTTACACGGTGTAATCTACGCCATGGCTTCACCGAAGACCTATCAGGGCAGGTGGAGGCGTGACTACGACTTGAACATCAGGCGATTGCTGGAGCGGTTCCCAGTCGTCCCTGATCAGGCTGAAACTCGAAGTAATTTCCGATGACAGCATGAGCAGGAAGCATCCAGGGTTCATCTTTTTCCCCTTTCTTGAAAAGCAGGAAACAGGAACCATTATCATCCAAGGCGTAGTTCAGGTGGGTCAGCTTTAAGGGTACAGTCCCTTGAGGACCCAATCCCAGAGACAGGGGTGGCAAGACGTTCATATAAACACATGAGAATCTCCACAGATTAGCTCTCGCGTCGTATTTTATATCCACTGGTCTCCCAGCAATCTTGTCAGCTTGTTCCTTGACATCCGTAGTTATATCATCGTAGTATTCTGGTGAGACGTAGAAGAAATTGGTTCCACTGTCCAAGAGAATGTCGTCGCCGGGAGTGGTAATTTGCGGAGCATCATTCACTTTCACAGACCCGAGTTCAACGGAATAGTCGCCCTCGAAGGTGGTAGAGAATGGGATTAATTGCAGCGGTGGTACGTACTTCGAAGCATCACCTCCTCCCACCAGCAACTCACCATTGAAGGGGGCCTTCCCGCCAGCTGAGGATAGGTAGAAAGCAAAGGTGTTGCTTGGTATTTTCCCAGTCGAGCGAAGCTGCCCAATGAATGAGGGAATTGTTCTACCGCTGCTTCGCAGACTAAGACCAAGTGAACTTATCGGTTCGCTCTCTGTGGGTGGAGGATCTTGCTTGAACATGAGGCCGAAAGTGAGATCCACTGGCGGAGCCGAACCGAGTGAAAGTTGAGCTTTATGCTCAAATGATGTGACTTCGACGCCATCATCATACTTGGTCACTTGATAGGGCGGCGCGGGTGAACAAGGCTGTTGACATTGGTAACACCCAGTGGCCGGACAAGGTTGCTTGGTTGCCGCCTCGTACCAGTCCTTCCAGATGAAATGGAAGTCGGCAGCTCCAGTATCCAGAAGAGCGTGGACAACATTTTGATGCTCATCGTGGAAGGCATAGAACATCCCATTCCCATACGGGGCCAGGTCTTGGAAGACAATAGGCAGCCTGAAGACAGGCTGCCCAGCAACAAGACTAGAGCCGATCAAGTAGAATATGATAGTAGCTGCACTCATTGCAGTGGGTTGTATCTTCGGCAAGACGTAGAAGATGGGACACCATTGGTGTCCCACCTTGCTTGGTGTCACACCAAGCAAGGGTTTGTAGTCGATTAACGTGGCGAGCGACACATACATGCATGTAATCCAATGAGCTGTTGGCACTGTTAGGGCCATGTGATTTGGAGCTAGAGTTAGAGGACTTCCCAGGAACACGACGCGCAGGAGGCAGGAGGACAACGGGACCAAAGGACGAAACGGTTGGACCGACCGATGAGTAATGAACTTGTGCGCGCAGCACCCACCTGCGTGAAACTACTTGAGTGTGTCTCTTTACTATGAGTAACATGGGGATAGACTAGAAGAGAATACATCGGGTACGACACCAAGCAAGGGTCTGTAATTGATTAGCATGGCGAGCGACATATACATGCTCTGCTACAATGGGTTAATCCTTCATTGGCTCACATACGCCATCATGACGCCGCCATGCCACGTGTTAGTGATTTACCCATTGAGATAGCACTACACTGGATATGATTGCAGGATAATGCCTTACAAGGCTGGATTATACTTAGCCGTCCAGGACTAACTTCATCATGAGCTTAGCTAAGGGATTCCTTCAGCCCAGAGAGACATATTGTGTATTACGGGGGATTGGAACAGCGACAGTGACGCAGCAGCATCTTACACACGTGAATTGTGCATCATGCGTGCCTTATGCAGCGTGACTCACGTCACGTGGGTCGAACGAAGCCGTTTTGGCGCAAAGTACAACTTCCGAAGAAGCCGAGCGAGCTCCAAGGAACAGTATAGATTTTGCACCAGCGCCTTGGACCTTGTACGATAAAATGGCACTGTCCCAAGATGAACGACGAGCGAAAATACTCTCCGTAGCCCAGCCAATTCCTACGACTACTTCTATCGATCACAAATTATACTTTGTTTTTGTTCGGGTGGAATGGATTACGATGCTTCTCAGAATCATCCATCGTCTGTCCATAGATTACATTTACTCGTTTCACCCGAATCTCTGGCTAGGTCGTTGAAAACACTACTGATTGTAGTATCATGTTGTGAAGTTCTGAGTCAGAACATCTGATCCTGTCAAACAGAGCCTGTCTGAGACAGGCTCTCTCTGATCTAGTATCAGAACTTCCCTGTGACTCACGTTAAATACCTTGAAACATTCATAGTACTGCTAGTGTTAGATATAGAGCAGTAGCTAAAAGCACGATCGCTGATGTGATCGATGAATTAATGGGTGAAGTTTATGAGTTAACAAAAGGTCACACAAGGTAGACCACTACTTTATGAGACATTCATATTTTCTTTCAGTTACCATAATATCCGACCTTCCCAATACGTTAATCCAAATATTAACTGGGGCAGTTATATATGCAAGGCTGAAGAGGGGATTTTCTGCCCAATATTTACAACTTCTTGTCACGGAGATTACGGAGAAGCCATTCATTCTGTCCGTCTAAGATGCAGTGCAACCTAAAAGGTCAAACCTATTCCATCACCTTTTTTTATCCAGATAGTAACATCCTCGGACCGAGGACCTCGGTGGTTCCTCCGGCTGCGCAATATGCTAACTCACGCAGGAACCTACCTCACATCCGCTGTTTAGAAGGAGGATTTGTTTCGGATTTGATCGTGGTGAGCTCTTAATCCTGGGTGTAACCCTTCTTGTAAGGCGGCAATACATGAATCGATTCGCCTCTCATGTTGTTGTGGCTGCTCAGCAGGGGACAGTTGCGTTCAGTTTCCTCCCATGGGTCTCTGACTCAGAGACTCTGAGGATTGTAGTTGTCGTTCCGCATGTCGATGTGCCGGTTGTTAGTCGTTTCTGGGTGGAAAGTTACAGTTTTATCATAATCATTCAATCTGGTGGATGTACGTATGATCATGCACGGCTTAGTGGACTCGGCAGACCCTCATCAGCACCTACATGGGGGTAACACTCCCCAGACACATGCCAGATGACAAAAACCCCCCGCTCAGATGCAATTCACACATCCTTTTACGGTATCACGAGCTCGACAGGGGGATCAGTTCAAGCGGTGGGTTGCTCATCATTCATTTATCTACTATCAACTTGACTACAGGACCTCGCAACTCCACCGACAGCCCTCGCTGTCACATCGCCCGTGGCAGGCAGACCGCTGCCACCACTCAAGGCTTTATCAGAGCCTCCTAAGCATGTTCATCAAAGACTGTATCCTGAGGAAAGTGTCGCTAGCTTGATGAGCCGAGGGCTCGGAAGTCCGCTGATGAAAACGGATCTGGTTGGTACCTTCTGCTCGATTCACCAGCCAAAGTGACTGCGCTTAGCGATTACTTCACAGCTTTGCGTATCATTAGTATTTCGAAAATAGGTTAATAACAACAACCTTCAATACTACGGAGAGGTTCACATCGGAGATCCACCACAGAGATTCCTAGCGATATACGATACTGGATCAGAGAAGCTCTGGGTACCCGGCGAACGGTGTCACAGCGAGGCTTGCATTCATCATCATAAGTAGGTGACCAACACTACTCGTGTATCAAGTAGCATCTAACAACATCATCGATCTTCTGAAACATAAATAGCAGTGGAATAGTACAGCGAAAATTTCGCTGCAAAATCTTATCCATTTATCGCCACTTCCACTGCTTCCTGCAGATTTCATCCAGTCAAAAGCCAGACCTTCAAGCAAAGCATTGGCGGCGAACACCGCATGACTTATGGCACTGGGGAGGTAAGCCGGTTGCCAATTCATAACGTCAGGCTACCGCCAGGTTCGCTTCAGAGAAGGCAAAGACACAATTCGGCTGTGTGATTCGATCAGAGGTTGCTTCAACGAACGCACTAACCCTCCGCGACCATCGGGTAGCACCAAGCCCGTCACGGCACTTACGGCCGATAGACAGGTAAGAGCCGGTTGAATATGTGACTTTGAATGAGTACCGTTACGTTGAGAGAAGTGCGACAGAACCATCGTCTCAGCCGTTGGGCATGACTTCTTACCAAAGTCCCGATCCCTTCAAGAAACTGCCTTTCGATGGTATTCTGGGACTACCACCTAGCGGCAACTCTGGGGATGGTCACCATTCGTCACTCCTTGGTGAATGGCTCAAGGTTGCGAGGTGAGTGTAGGGGAACTATGATGGAGTCTATCGAGACATGTAGATTCCGACATCACCATCCGAGGCTTATCAGCTTCTATCTATCTCCCGACACAGCTATTAAAGGATCGGTCGCGATAGGCGGGATCGACAGGCACCACATTGATCAGTCGGACAAACTACATTGGTGAGATGGTTCTATTGAGTATTCTCGAACTATAACACATAGGCACAATATCCATCCACCAACCGATGCCTGGAGGGTCCGACTGGTCGACATTGCTATCGACGGGAAACCACTGCATCTGTGCGGAAGTGGATCTGATGGTCCTGATGGGACCTGTGAAGTGAGCTGGCAACGGTGTGATACTAATTTACAGGATCATGCCAATCGAATTCCCTTCTCTAATAGCAGGAAATTATGAATAGAGAAGATTCACCTCCGAGTTTTTCAAAATTACGGAGAAAAAAATGCGATTTCCCGAAATTTCACGTAAACTCGCAAAATTGTCACGGACGAGACTTCCCGAAAACCTAACCGTCCGCGGCGGGACTGGAAGTTCCACAATTCATAATTCCCGTAATTTCTAGTTGCAAGGCACTTTACATTCGATTGTAAAGTGCCTCGGTCGTTTTAGCATAAACGCGGTTAAAACAAATTCAAAACGGTCTTGGGTAGTACATTGTCGTCGACAAAATTCATTCTCGAGTGATTGTTCCGGATTTGTCAGAAGCCTAGTAAGATTGTCTTCTATCGTATTCGGACTTTTTTCCGAAAGACTTCAACAATTACCAAGTACTGCGATTCGCTTGATTAACTGTGAACAGATGAAGGAATTGACTTCTTCACCAAGTTACTATACTCGGGACGCATGAAGTGTGGTGTATCTGCTCCCAACGAGCTGAAGTTGTTCCTAGCAGACGGTCACTTTGAATGCTCCTATCAAGTGGCCCGTATATATTATGTGTGATTCAAGTCGCATATATTATAGAAGAAAGTTTATCTATGTCTCTGTGTAACGACCAGTAAGCTAGCAGTGTCATGGTTTTTACCAACTTGCCCTGGCCAAGTCTGTCTTGGCAAAGACTACCAATATTCGGAACTTTGTAGCGTACAACTACGTTCAGCGCGTTGAGAATCCGGAATATTATTTAGCTATCGCCTTTCATAGGAAGCGCAATTTATGACTCCAGGCAAGCGATCACGGCAGTCGCTGATTGCATCTTGGTGAGTGTCGTGATTGCAGTAAGCTACAACATCTCGCAAGTGGTTCTGCTCGGCACATGTGCATCATCGTGTAAAAATCCTGCCATGGGTTGACTACTCTTTCCAGGAGGTCGAACGTCTGGTTCGCCTCCTGAAGGAATGTACCCTGGCTATCCCATAATCCCGCAGGAGGACTGATACGAATAAAAAGCCTTGGAGGAAAGGATCTTTCTGAAGATTCCACTTTTACCATTTCTTATCTAGAAGCACGATTTTTTCTCGTCCAACAACTCAAACTTCATCGCCATTGGACAACTTGCAAACCTTCGCATCCGTTGCCAAGCCGTGTTCGAG